GTCGTGCGAGGTTCCATACGGCGCACCGATGCAGCATGTCGACGCGGGCGGTTCGGGCGCAAAGCAGGCTTCGAAGAGGACCATGGATGGCAGCTTGCTGTCGTCGATGGGGTTGGCAACTGACGCCAGGATGTGGGTTTTTTAGATATTTTTATTCGGCCCAGCATTTTATTTTCGAAGCCCGAAAATAGAACGCCGAAACAAAACGACTGCCGCGCAATTGCGTCGAAAAATTTACGGTACACTACCGTCGTTACCATCTTGGATGAAAGATCGCGATGAAAGTGAACCGTGCATGTGCTCGTCCCGCGCATGTGCAAGACCACAATGCGCTATAGTGTACTAGTACGAGCATGTTGTGGGTTAAGGAGTTATGGCACATCTAGGGGAAGGATTCTGCAATATGTCGCCACACAGAGTTCTATGTTCAAATGAAGAATCAGGAGGTACACCAGAGTCTGATCGATGAATGTGTTTTCGGTCGATGCCTTGCCAGCGTTTTTATCAGCTGATCATCAACAACAAGCACGGGGATCGAACGCGACGAATCACAGACCCACACTTCTGCATCCAGCGGTGGAGCAACTCCGGTTGATGTGCTGTCGTCCAATGTAGCGTGGCCTGTCGCCTTGGCTCGCGTGTTGAGGAACTCACAGCGCTGCTACCAGCCACGTTGCTGCTCGGTAGCGAGGACTGATACTATAAAGATAACGTTGGGCTTAAAGATGTCTGGTGTGGAAAATCTAATGAATATTGGTGCGAACAAGTACGCTCGAAGAAACGTGGGATAAGGTCGCGACATTGGCTACTCGCCAATTGAATTGTGCACTGCAATGCACCTGCCCCACTTCAGAAATGCCACTGCCATATCATCTCGTTCACAACCGCAGAGCTCAACGGTAGCAGGCAGCGCATCGTACTTGAATCAGTTTGTCCTCAGCAAAACGTGCCGTCGAATTTGAATGATGTGTCCACAAAGTTGGGCTCTCAGGTGGGTCGACACTCATCTCCCATCTCGACGCTTCCATGCGACGCTTATTGCGAGTTAAAAGGATGCATTATGTAGACGGCTCGGTGACAATTTTTTACGCATCGTTCTCAGCGGACCCGAGGTACCATTGCACGACGTTGGTCCACGTCACGAAAAAAAAGATGAAGAGGCCGAGACCGATCGTGCCGTAGTCGAGGGCCTTGGAAGCCCAGTGTCGCTCGGGTGCGAGCTTGAGATAGAACCATGGCGGGTAGATGAATCCGAGAGGCACTACATGCCACAAATAAGTCCCAAATAAAAGTCCAGGATGTAATTCTACCACAGCAAAAGGCGCCGACAAGCGACACAAAGAGGTCTAAATGCGCTTGGCCAGCGTACGCGATGGCCACAGTGGAGAGAACCACGAGCGTCCGCACAACATTTTTTTGCGCCTTGAGCCCCGACGACCGACGCTGGAAGCCAAGGACATCTTCAACAATCTGGAGTGCTGGAAAGAGGAAGAGCGGATACGCAAGCGTCTGCGCAAAGGCGTAACCAGCCTGGACTGCCATTGTCTGGGGCGTCCGCGGCAAACTCGAGAGGATCATGGGCTGGACGGCGTTGCCAATCGCCGCGTAGTTGACACTCGCAAAGAGCGAGAAGAAGACGACGCAGCCCGCGATCGTCTTGGCAAGAAGCGCCGGGAACTGAGGCTGTAGGCTCGGTGCCAGAGCGGCTTGAGTCGGGATGATGAGTCCGATGCCCTCAAACACAAACACGGCGGTGCCGAGGAAGATCGAGTAGTCGCTCGTGTTGAAGCCTTCGAGCGGTTCGACAATGCCATTGACCGCGAGCGTGCGACCATTTGTGTACATAATGTACACAATCGCGTACAAGACAAAAACATCCGCGACGAGGTTGCTCAGCGTAAAGTACCTGGAAGTTGCCACGTCATACATAGGGGTATGGCTGGGGTATGGATATGTACGTACCGCATGTAGCGAATCCACGACAGAGGGATGTAGACGAGCGTCTGGAGCAAAATGAGGCTCGTGAGCGACACGGGCGTCTCAAAGTACACGGAGACATCCCGGAGGTTCTGCGCGACAAAGATGATGTACGAGCAGCAAAACCCAAACTGCATGAGTACGAGCGACGTCTGCACGAGCCGGTGACCGACAGGACCCAGCACGACGCTACCGATGTGGCTGTACGACCCGCCGATACGCGCGCGGCACGCCAGCAGTCGCAGCATTGCGAACACTGTAACGATCGCGATGGCAGTGAGAAGGATAGGTGCGAAGACGACGCCGCCGCGCTGAAAACCCTGCGGCAAGAAGAGGATTCCAGTGCCGACAAACGACTTGAGGAGCGAGAGGAACGCGTGTGTCAGTGTGGTTTCTTTCGTCTCTTTCTTTGGCGCGAGCGGCGTAAGCTCATCGGCTAAGTACGATGCCTGGAGCAGGTGCTCGACGCGCGCAGCTACGTCCATCTCCTCGAAGGACGCATCGTCAAGAGAGAGCACAGCCGATATGAAAGGGTCGTAGATCGTTGCGAGCGTCTGCGCAATCGTCGCACGCACTGGTGCAGATACCTTGGGCGTCGAACCCGAGTAGTAGTGGAGGCGGCGAAAGTCCGCTGCGTCAGCAATGTCGACGGGCGGGACTGGTGCTAGCGAGGCTGCGAGACGCCCTGGGTCCTAACGAAGATGTACGGCTCTGGCGAGTCTTGCACGATACCTACCGAGTTCGTGCGGCGCAAAGCGTCCTTTTCCACATCGATGACATCGTCCAGTTGAGTCATTCCGCGAAAATGATAAGTGCGAAACAGGATTCGATCGCCAGGCGTTCGGCCATCGCAAAAATCTTGGTCTTGAGCGGTTGTCGCAGAATGTACCGAACCCATGTACTGGACTGTCCTGATGGTACGTACAGTACATGTAGAGACTGCTAAGACTTGGGGAGGCGAGTGCATAACAGTTCCTTGCTGAGACTGCCCACAACAGGAGATGCCATGCGCAGCAGCTTGCGCAGCACTTTTGCCCGTACTACGAGAATAAATGCTAGCTTACACATGTAGGCATCACTTGCGTCCCTTTCCTTTAATGGAGTCCCCGTCCAACGACCAAGTTTGACCATTTTGAAACCCAATTCCCGAAATGCAAGACTCGATGATTTCGCAAAGGACAGGGCAAGTACCGTACGAAATCTTCCATGAATGCAGACGAGTTCTGTAAGTTGCCTGCAGACCCAATGTTGCAGAATGAACACAAATTGCTCAAAAGAAAGCGAGGGATAGCGTCGCAAGTGGTACACAGGCGTCATCCAATGTACGTACACGGGCCACAAGCGGTGCAGCGCACGCAATCGAGTCAGCACTTGGATCCAGTCAAATCGAACCCAAGGAGCGAGCTATTGAAGCTGCTGTTGATCATGCTTGTGGTGGGTTGGTACTCGGTCAGCGCCGACATGCAGTGGTCGTAGCAAACGCAGTCGCTATCGCAGTCGTGCGGGCGTTGAGGAATGAATAATTAGGATCCGCCCGGTTACTCACGCTGTCTCTCGGAAAGCTTATGAAACGTGGCGCATGCATTTTGAAGGCCACCAATCGAAACGTGGGTCTGGCTGTTCTTGGTGGCGTCTGATTGGCTAATATTCGAGTCTGTCGAAAAGTAATGCATTCTGAAAGAGGCCGCGACCCCGCCCGCGCCGAGCGATGCGTACGAATGGTTGGCAAGCGCCCTTTGACCTACTGCAGGTCGTGGCATGGGTCACCTTCCCCGTACTCTTCGGCGGCTTCTTCGCATTCTACGTGCCCTTCCTGCCGGCGACGCCCGCTATCGCCTTGGGCGTGGTACGATGAATGCCCCCGTCGTGCCGAACCTCACTCTCGTCACATTAGATCTACGGCATGAACGGTGTCTTGATCATGGTTCTGGCGGGCTTCTGCACGTACATCAACCCCGCGGACAGAAATATTCTGACAGAGGCCGAGCTCAGCCCTGCGCAGATCACGGACGACCTGCTGTACTGCAATGTGTGCACTAAGTACGTCGACAAGCGATCGCGGCACTGTCGCCTATGCGAGAAGTGCGTCGCGACGTTCGACCACCACTGCAAGTGGCTGAACAACTGTGTCGGCGCCCACAACTATCGCTATTTCTTTGTCCTGATCTGCTCGACTCTCGTCTTTACGCTGTTTCAACTCGCGGTCGGTGTCTTCCTATTCGCGACCTCGTTTGCTGATCCGGCATCGATTACCAGCAATGGTGCGTTTGGCACACTCATCGCCCGTTCTTATATGCTGTGCGTAGGCGCTGTGACGTACGGATGCAAGGACGGAACTCCGGCACCAGGCACAAACGCCTGCAGCAACGACAGGCAAGCCACGTCCCCTGACGTGTACAAAACAAAACGAACTGAATGGCTGGCTTTTTCGTGTAGATACATGTTTCCTCTCGTCGCCGTCAAGATTCTGCTTGGGCTTTACTCAGCGTTCCTCGTCCCATCGACAGTGTCTATCCTGCAGCTCGTAATATTTCACATCAAGCTCTGTACAGCCCAACTGACTCGATCATTGCTCTCATTTCGCTAACCTTAGGTCGCAATGGATCCACGACATACGACTACATCGTCGAGCAGCGACGAGCAAAGATTGCCCGTGCCCGCGGGGACTCTACGCTGGCTGATGACGAGGGCGACCTATGTGTCTGCCCTGCACCCCGTCGCCGCACAGCTTCCGAAGGCGCAACACAGCAGCCGCCACGGTGCGTACGAGTTGCGATATCGATATTACTCACGTACCTAACTGTAGGCCCACCGTGTCGTCGGCGGCGCCAGCATCGTTCCGATCGTCGGCCGTCGCTATCGACGGACCGTTCGCTGGTAGCTTCGATCGTGGGTTTGGCAAGCACGTGCAGCTATACGATCACTCGTCCGAGGAGACGCACCACTCCCCGACAAGTCCGTCGCAACGTGAAGAGTTTGGACAGCAGTTCCACGCATATGCAAGTCCCGCTGCCAACCCACTGGCTGCAAGTACCAAGCGCGAATCGTTCTTCGTGTGAGATTTTAAACACTATGTACCAATTGAAAAACGGATCTATCCACTTAACTCTTTCACTGACGTGTGACCATGTATGTTTGTGCAGGTTTGTCCTCTTGGCGATGCAAACCACGTGATATTGGTGTTCTTAACTCTGGCGCAGCGTCACGTTGTGGGCATCCGCGCCGAGCTCGACCGTCACGACGTCGACGATACCGCTCGAGAGTTGCGGCGACCACGACGCACGAGCGTTCGACCGTGGGTGCGTGGCGTGCACGGCGTACACGGCTGCGTGGGCAGTCCACGAACCCATGTTGTATTCGTGCTCGCCAAGAACGACGGTGTCATGCGGAGCGACCGTGACGCGCTCGCGGATGAAGTCCTTCCCATCGGCGGCTTGGTGGTCCGAGCCGAAGACGGCCTCAACAGCGATGGGCGTCGCGCTCGAGTTGCGGATAGCGACACGCACAGCGTAGCTCGGGGGGCAGACCATTCTTTTCAAAGACAGTTGGAAAATGAAGTGGCAAGGAGTTCCTCGCTACATACACTCATGGCAGAAGGTTCCTGAGTGATTGTATCACCACTTGATAATTTAGCTCTGAACTAGGAAGCTTGTTCTTTGTATGTCGGTAAAGAGATGGCGTATACGGACAACCCGACGTGGGATTGGCCAGAGCTGGTACGTGGTGTCCAATTGGCTCCTCTGCGACGCTGACACACAACGACCGCGCGAGCAATGGACTGGTTCAAGACCCTCTTCGGCTTCAGGGAGAAGGGTTTGGCCTACGACGAGATCCAAGCCAAGTTCGAGATCGTCAACGAAACGCAGTTGCGCAGCGTCACCAACGACAAAGCGTACGACATTGGCACGTTCGAGTGCCTATCGCTGGCAACGCTTCGTGACCATGCCATGTGCGTCGGGCGTCTCGGGCAACTCCGCGTTACCCACGTCGCGTCCAAAGACGTGTTCCTACTGCACTGTGACCCACTACATCGAAACGCGACGTTCCAGGCTGCTTCCCAGTTCAATTGCCTCGAATTTGCCCATCCGCGAGCTGTACGTCAAGCCACTTCCCATGGCAGCACTCACCCAAAGTCGTTGTAGCGGCCAGAGGACGGAGTCACCATTTACGCACGCGATATGACTCAAGGGCCAGCGTGCGCCATCGGTACGCGTATGGTTGACGATTGCACGTACAGCTAACCAGTACCTGTAGCAGCTGGTCCGGGCACGGTTTTCCGCAACTACTTTGCATCGCCAGACGCCGATTTGCAAGGACAAAGAGCAACGAGCCAGATCAACAATCTCGACGATGTCGAAGTCATTCTTGACAATGAGCGGCATCAGTATTTCCACGTCGTCAACGGCTATACGGACGCCACGAATGCGAGTCTACAACGACTCAACGATGTGCTCGAGACCGCCGACAACAATGACCTTGAGGATGCGCTGAAAGTCGGTGTCCACTGGAACGTTGAAGTGCCTTTCAAAGCGCGGTACCACCCAACCAGCCCCAGCAGCGACAAACAGCTCGTCACCCAAGTGTACTGCTCGGCCATTTCGTGTGGTTACTCGTACGCTTCGACGACTGCGTGGGCGCCTTTTGCCAGTCTCGTGCTTCGCGCTAGCTATGAGGCGACCCTGTGGGCTGCTATCATCAATGCCTCAACCACCGGATCGAACAGAGTATTTCTCACTGTTCTCGGCGGTGGCGTTTTTGGAAACAAGACTACGTGGATTCTCGATGCAATCGCTGCCGCCGTCGCCAAGTGCCACGCATTTGACCTCGACGTTGTTGTCGTACATTACCTAAAGGTCGACAAAGCACTCGTGACAGCGCTAGACAAATTGTTGCCGATACCCGATATGTCTGAGGTGTTCGCAAGCACCTAGACAGCGTCGTTGATACTCAAAAATCTACTGGAAGATAAACATGAGCGCATGAATTGAGTTTTATCGTACCATGATTCCAAAGTAGGGGCTGATGCTGCCATGAAGCGGCCAGCTCCGCATGTCGTAGAATATTCAACTTGCAACGCAGTAGATATTGATCTAGCGCGGCTGGGTCTTACTCAACCCAAAGACTTTGGTACGCTGGTATTAATAAATCTCCCATCGCTGACCACCTCCATTTGCCACGCGCCATCTCGCGGGTGCATCAACAACAAAATGGCAACAATTGTGGCACATTGTTGCTGAAGTCCGGCCAAACAGTTCATTTCATTCTCGAAGCCCATCGAGGACAAGCATCCAAGCATGGAAGACCCCGCCCTGGTCGAGCGCCTTCTCCGAGAAGCTGCTTGACAGCCGTGTACACGGATCGAGATGAACCAGCACAATAAAGGTCTCTCGACAGCGTTTCTTTGACTGCTGCAGATGGATAGCATCGACCCTCGCCGTGTTACCGATCGCCAAGACGAGATCTTTTACGAACTTGGGCAGCCTTTGCCAGCACCCAGGTAAAGTTACCAGCGTGCACGATTCGGGCTCTTCCAAGTCAGCGTTTCCAGCAGTGTCAGTGGCTGGGTTGTATAACCAACATGGGCGGTCGTTGCAAACACCTGCTACAAGCAGTCATCATGCGCTGCCTTTTGGTCCCTCGACACCCGATCCTCCGATGGTGTCGTTCAGACCTGCGCTTTGGGTTACCATCATCGAGGAAGGCCACGTAACCATCGATTACAAGAATACAAGAATCGACCAGGGTGAGCCAGGGGGCCCTGGGTGAGCCCAGTGGCCGGCCCTACGTCCACACTCTGGTGCGGTGATGTACAATGTGTAGTCAGTGAAATGGATACCGTGTAGTAAACTCATATCTATAGTAGCGTACTGTCTGGTACTGTCTGGTACGGTCTTGTCGATAACCTCTTCGTAGATGATGTTTTTGGTGTACATGCGGCCGTCCACATTCGACTTCGAGTTCAGAGCCAAGATAATGATGTTGTCACGC